AATGTGACAAAAAATAGTAGGATTGACGATGTATCCATTAGGTGAGACAATTACATCGCACTACTTCCTTCGGTCTCTCAGACTCAACTGTCAAATGAGCATCACACCAACCAATTTACTCAAACTCAAGCCAAATTCCTATTGAGGCATACAAGATGATGCAAATTGAATTAAAAAAAAAATTATATATTTAATTTATATTATTTTAGTATTTGATTAGGATTATTATCCAAGGCTAGAATATTTAATTTTCTGTTTATTTAGGTTTCCTATTTCGTTTATTTTCGTGTTCTACAAGAATAGGATTGCTTGCTTTACAATAATTATTTTTATTTCTTAATATTGTATTTCCTTTTTAGTGGTAGTTGGTTTAGGATTATCTTTTATTATATATAAGGTTGCAAGCCTTAGGGCTATTGAGTTTCTTGATATTAATATACATTTTGGTGAGAGAATTCTCTTCTTTTCTTATAATTTTGATAATCTTCGGATTCAACAGATTATAGAAAAGCTGCAGCTTTCTTTGTTGCGCAATTTTGTTGATGTACACGTTCTATGCTACATTAGTTGGAATCAGATCTTAATGTCACGTACCAACTCATTGGGGATGCGAATTCTACACCAAGCACCTTGCGAGTGCATTAGTTTGTGAGCAGCAAGGCAGGCAGGCTAGATCCCTATCGCATCTCATGGGTTGGTCCTTGGGCATAATTCACGGGGTATGCAGTACCACTCATGGAGCCGACTTCTCGAGAGGATGACAAGCACTCAGTCCGTGACAAGTGGTATCAAAGCCAGCCTAGGGGCACTGTGATGGGGACAGTACGTGGGACTTACACCAAGCACCTTCACTGTGGTGTCCGTACAGGGCGGGTTTCCCGTGGGTAGGGAGACGAACAAGCATGGAGGCAGGCAGGGTAATGTTCCCCTGACGAGGGCGTCAGGGACTGGCAGTGGTAGCATGTCACGTACCGACCCATTGGGGATACGAGTTATATACCAAGCACCTTGCAAGCGTATTAGTTTGTGAGCAATAAGGCAGGCAGGGTAGATCCTTATCGCATCTCCTAGGTTGGTCCTTGGATATAATTCACGAGGGTATGCAGTACCACTCGTGGTGCCGGCTTCTCGAAACGATGACAAGCGCCCAGTCTGTGACATTAAGCTCAGTTCTTGATTGGTCATCACGGTTCAAGGAGCTTGTGGTGGTGGTCAACTGCTATTGAAGATGTGTATGAGCGCGATGATGTTGCGCAAGAAGCATAACTAGAGGTCCAGATAACACAACGTTTCACTGAGCAGATTGAAGCACTGAGATAACAGCTCGCTGCCATGGCGGTTGCTAACAGTGTGCCTCAAAACCATCTGCCAAATTAACAATATGTTAATAGGAATAAAACTAAAGTTTTTCCCAGTGGCTTTCTGTTGACAAAAATGTTTAGAGAGACACGTTATCAATATGATGATGTGAAGTATTAGAGGAAGCTTTTAATGGAATATTGCGGACAGAAATTCTTCATTATTACAATCACATGTCGATTGGGATTTAACTCAAAATACGTTGAGTACCCAAAGGAGGATGAAATTAATCTACAAGAGATAGTACAAGAATGCGACAAGCCCATGGAACAAGAATCGACTTAACAGGAGAATCGTGCTTTCTCCCACATTAGGTTCTGATCCTAATTTGTTCCATTGTCACCCAATGAGAGCCATATGTCAAGATAGACAATAACATCATCGTGGAAAAAAGCAGAGTCATTACAAAAGGCGATGTTGGTGCATTGGATTTATCTTGTGCACAAAGAAAATGCAACATTGTTCTACAATTGATGAGAAGTTTAACATGCTAGAAGATGATGTCACTTTGTTTGATGTTCAAACTTGTGATGAGGTATTCCAACATATTGATGTGGGTTTACAATCATTTATCTTTATACATTAAATTTCTACACTTTCTGTTGACAAAAATGTTTAGAGAGACACGTTATCAATATGATGATGTGAAGTATTAGAGGAAGCTTTTAATGGAATATTGCGGACAAAAATTCTTCATTATTACAATCACATGTCGATTGGGATTTAACTCAAAATACGTTGAGTATCCAAAGGAGGATGAAATTAATCTACAAGAGATAGTACAAGAATGCGACAAGCCCATGGAACAAGAATCGACTTAAAAGGAGAATCATGCTTTCTCCCACATTAGGTTCTGATCCTAATTTGTTCCATTGTCACCCAATGAGAGCCATATGTCAAGATAGACAATAACATCATCGTGGAAAAAAGCAGAGTCATTACAAAAGGCGATGTTGGTGCATTGGATTTATCTTGTGCACAAAGAAAATGCAACATTGTTCTACAAAGTGATGAGAAGTTTGACATGCCAGAAGATGATATCACTTTGTTTGATGTTCAAACTTGTGATGAGGTATTCCAACATATTGATGTGGGTTGCAAGGTTTCTAATATTTACTTATTGGAGCTTGTGGGGTCAAATAAAGCTATTGGTGTATCATATACATCGTGCCGAGATGGTCATAATAGGGCATTTTTTTTTTATTTTGGAAAAATTAATTTTAAATACAAGGTTGATGCAGAGAAGTGTAGACGAATAAAATTGTTTAAAGCCCTGAAAACTCGAGGACGAGTTTTTTCAAGTAGGAAAAATTATGCAAATTGAATTAAAAATTATATATTTAATTTACATTATTTTAGTATTTGATTAGGATTATTATCTAAGGCTAGAATGTTTAATTTTCTGTTTATTTAGGTTGCCTATTTCGTTTATTTTCTTGTTCTACAAGAAAATGATTGCTTGCTTTACAAGAATTATTTTTATTTCTTAATAGTGTATTTTCCTTTTTAGTGGTAGTTGATTTAAGAATTATATTTTATTACAAATCTATACATTATTTCTTACATATTTAATTTACATTATTTTAGTATTTGATTAGGATTATTATCTAAGGCTAGAATGTTTAATTTTCTGTTTATTTAGGTTGCCTATTTCGTTTATTTTCTTGTTCTACAAGAAAATGATTGCTTGCTTTACAAGAATTATTTTTATTTCTTAATAGTGTATTTTCCTTTTTAGTGGTAGTTGATTTAAGAATTATATTTTATTACAAATAAGGTTGTAAGCCTTGGGGCTATTGAGTTTTTATGTTCATATATACTTTTGTTGACAGCATTCTCTTCTTTTCTTATAATTCTGGTAATCTTCGGACTCAAAAGATTGTAGAAGAGTTACAGCTTTCTTTTCTACGCAATTATATTGTTGTTCACATTCTACGCTTCGTTACAAGAGAACCAAACATATAACTTCAACGAAGCTCTTTGACACTTCCTAAGATATCATTGTTTGCTTGTAAGAGAATGCAATCACTACATCACCGACTCCAAGGCGGTAATTGATTTGCTCATTTGTTTCAACTCATCTTGATAATTTGGATTTAGATTTTTATTTTTATTGTTATAAGCATTATCCCTTCCAAAAGAATAAATCTAACTATTCTACCTCTTCTGATAGGAGCCATATCAACAGCAAATGCAAAACAAAACTCTCACAAGGTACCAAGTAGGAAGCACCCAAAAAACAATTTCAAAGCATAAATCAGTCCAATATGATCATATACGTCGAGTAGAATCCCAAACTAAGTCCAGTGTCTTGAAATCCAACTCTAGTTAATTTGAAACAAATTCAACAACCAACATTGAGGATCGCACCAATTTGCCAATTTGAACATCACTTCGAAACTCCAATTGAAACCAAATCAAAGTAATATGAAGCAGTTGAACCAATATGAACACAATTTAAAGCATACGAACACAAATCAAGCTCAATCCAAGACAAATCGATCCAATCAAACTCAAACAATTATTAATCTTAGACATTCAAAGTAGAGAAGCCTTCAATCTACCCTGTCGAATACAGATCTGAATGAATAAAACCAAATTGAACTAGATCTGAGGGTTCGAACACAGATCTAAAGGGATCAAACTCACTTGAAACAGATTTTAGGGATTCAAACACACATCTAAAGGAATCAAGGAATTTAGAACCAGATCCAAGAGATTCAAAGTAAAATTGACCTACTTGTCCAACTCAAATATGAAGAAATCCAAGAGTTTCAAACAAGAATCTAACAGGTTCGATCGAATCAGATTCACAGGCTCAAAGTTGAATCGATCTCAACAAAGGCCACTTGAACTCAGACCTCGAACCAGATCTGGATATTAGGGTTTGAAATTGACAAACAACTTCAATGAGGTTCGATTTGGGGATTCACACGTGAATTTGTGCATTCAGCTTCGATTCATCCACCTAGGGTATGATATGGACAAATCTCAACTCCAATATTCATGATGCACTTTGCCAACAGTCACACAACTAGCCCTCTGATGTTTGTGTTCAACTCACAATAACCCTTTTGACAATTGCAATGTTGCACACACAACCAAAAAGTGGATCAAGAAGTCCGACCTCTCTCTCAATCTCAGATCGCAATATGAAATGAGATTTGAACCCCAAAATCGAGTGTACTTGTTTGAATGTCAAAATCGATGGAAACGCAGCCACATCAAGTCACAACTCTCTGCAGATTGAAGGCAGAAACCAAGGATCGATGAAAACAATGGCTCGAATAGATCTTTGCCACTCCAAGTATGATCAACTAAGCACATATTCAATTCAAGATGAAATCGAAGGCTTCGATCTCGACTTACAAGCTCAATCTCACAATCCTAGGGTTCTATTCGCACAATCATATTCGGATCTCACAATCTAGGGTTCGGCTCTCTGCTCTAGATGAGAGGTCACTCCAACGAACTCCAATTTACCTTCAATTGATGCAATTGAAGTACAGTAGGAAGAACACAGAACCTCTTGCACAGATACCAAATATGCAAACAAATTTGCATTCAAATTCTAAAATCAAGAGAACAAAATCCTCAATTAGGGGATAAACCGTTGAGGGTTAGAGAGAGAACCAGAACAGTGTTCTAATAAATGTCAATATTATTCAATTAAAACTAAATAGAATCCAAGTACAATGGGTATTACATCACCTATTTATAGACTACAACTAATAGGCCACTTACTTAACAGACACTTAACCTATTTATTCTACTACATCAACTTTCCATCACAACCATCATCTCCATACATACTAGTCCCATATTATCCCAAAATTCTCCCCTCATGATCAAGAAATGAGAAGAATGACAACTTAATTAAAATATCAAATTAATCACAATTTCTTAATATCATATCAGTTTTTTTTTCCCCTAAATTTAAAGCTTATCTGTTTCTCCGCTATCCTAGCTTGTTGCTGCTATAGCTTTTGCCCCTTCTAAGCACCAATGACTAAAATAGGCAAGCATATAGAGTGAGTAATGACTAACTGCAGAAGTAGTTTTGAAGAAAAAATAGCGGGTTCAAGTACCATCTTCGCTGTCTGAAAGCAAGCAATCTTGTATTTGCTCCCTGAAAGAGAATGAAACAAAAGATGTAAACAAGTAAATACATTGAATGATACCTCACACAGAGAATTTCAATAGTAATGTGAGGCCAACAAAATTAGAAACCATTTTTTGACTATTTATCCAATTTTATCAGTGGAGCAACAAATACAGGGTCACGCTGAAGTGAACACATATCATGATCTTTGAAAAGCTTTCCAGAAAAGTTCAGAACACAGCCTAAAAAAAGAAAGATAAATTACAGTTCAGTGTGAAACATCATGCCATGTCGCATGGACTTAGGTACAAGTGTCGGGTGTGGACTCGAACCTCAAATTTAAGGGTATGTGGACTCCGCAAAAAAAGAATCATACTTTTATATTTTAATTCATTATGTGAAATAAAATGGTGTTATATGTAACATACAGAATCAAAAAGACAATTTACTCATTTTATTGCAATTACACGACGATATATATACATATAATGATAGTGTTAAATACAAATGTATAAAAAGTGTCCAATAGAAAGTATTAGACACATTCCACACCTCAAGTGTCCGACACAAGTATTTGATTTATTTTGAAGGGTCCATGTAAACATGGACGTCATGTTCCAAAAAAAAGATGCTCATAGAGGTATTGGGCTAGTATTTGCAATATTCCTTAATCATCCACATGTTACTAGCTAAGAGTTGTCCGATAGAAAGCATTAGACACATATTCCACACCTTTGCCTAAGTCTCCCTCAAGTGTTTGACACAGGTATTTGATTTATTTTGAAGGGCCCACAAAAACATGGACGTCATGTTCCAGGAAAAAAGATGTTCATAGAGGTATTGGGCTCATATTTTCAATATTCCTTAATCATTCACATGTTACTAGCTACAAGTACATGTAAATATAATACCTTACCTTAGCCATCTCTGATTGCAACGGTTGCCACCCTTTGCCCGAGCAATGATTGGCTGCGGTAAGAGTGAATAAAAATACTCTACAGATGAGGGTTCTTTGGGAAGCATCTGAAACTGGCAGCTCAAACAACATGTAGCCCCAAAAGTTTCAGCACTTAATTGTCCATTCTCAACATCACTCAAACTGGACAAGTCAGATTTGTTGAGTGGGCTATTGCAAATCGAACAAAATGACTCGGGGGGCAGAGATTCATTAGGCATCAAATTAAATTTCTTCTGCCGCCTTTGAGATGCGAAATGAGCATTAAGGTCATCACCTTCTGGAATCCTATTAAAATGGAATGGAGTAAGCTTTCCAGCTGTTCTTACAATTGTGCATTCTCGAGAAGGATTTTCTTCCTGAAAGACAAAAGACATTATGAATTTTCAGATTCTGTAATTGGTTCTGAACCAAATTCAAAAAAGCTTAGATATACTTCATTACAATAATAAATTTTAACAAGGGATTTTCTTTGAAAGCTGGAGATCAGGTAATTTTCTTGCAGATTGCCAGTAACTTAAACAAGAATATTGATCTTCAATCTTAAGACAAATTTTGTTTTTTAGACTTCTCATGGAAAGCTCCCATCTTAACTAAGAGTAATTATCCTAACTATTGACTACTAGTTAACACACCTTAATCATATTGTTACAGCTATTTCTGAAAAAAGAAAACACAATTTAAATTCTACCTGCAACACTTTTATAAATGCTGAGACCAAGCCATTGATGCCAGAACGGGGATTGTCAAAAACCTTCACAGTTCTTAAGCTGCCATGCCAAGATAAGGTCAGCCCCATCATGGTGTAATCATATTAATGATTATGTCATAACATTTGGCAATAAAAAATCACTTAGTATGAAAATTCATGTAGAAACTGTATTCACATATATAAAGATATAGAATCTAATCCCCCTTTTAGGCAGTGTTGGTAATGAATTTTTGCTTATACCAAAAAAAGAAAAAACTGAAAATCATATAATTTCACTCTATATTGGATCTCGTAATATGATTGTGGTTCCATCCAAAAACCAGACCTTCCCACCACCCCCAAAAAAAAAAAAAAAACAGAAAAGCTTAATTCAGAGTGAAAAGGTTTCATTTTAACAAGAGATGTATGTACAGCACTATCAACCTTCCACTGCTTGGACTCTAGCAGTGAAGGGCTGGTTTTGTGCCCCAAAATTTGATGTTTGCAGCTGTATGAACTTACTGCCTGACAATACTTGAGCCAACCAGCTCGGCCAGCTGCTATATTGGATTTCAAGGTAACTAAAATTTACATGGGGGAAAATCCACTATGGAAATGAAAAAAAGCATGAAAGACAAACCTGTCAAGGCAACAAAGCATGTCGAGCTCTTGTGTGAGGCAATCACGTAGGGGAAGCACCACTGGTATCTCCCACCTTGCATCAACATATTGTATATCTGCCGCTAAAGAGTAACCCTGGCCCTGGCAAAAGATTATAACATTAGCACTCTCTCTCTTAAGTTTATGGGTCTCCATTTGAACTTTCAGCATGAAGGTAAATAGTTTTATCAGTTAATGAAAGATGAACCAAGTTCTATACTGGTTCTTCATTTTGTTTTCCAATTTTTTTTTTTTTTTGGATAAGTAATTTTATGAGTCTCCAATGGTTCTTCTTCAATTATATTGGTTGTTTAATACTTTTGATAGAACAACAAAACCAACTTAAAAGCCTGTCAAACACAGGCAACACGGTCTTCACGTAAGAGGAATGGATACTATCCACAAGAAGAACGAGAGAAATCAAAATTAATGAAGCATTTAAGTTTGGCAGTTAATTATTTTGAAGCTGACTCAATTTGGATCAATTAGAAACATAATAATTAAGTTACAGACTTAGCAGAGTCTTATATTATGATCATTTAGTTTTCTATATGATTTATTAAGTTACATATAGCTTAGGGGAATTTTAGTAATTTGCAAAAGTTATAGACACGGATTGTAGGGAATGCCCATAGGTTGCCAGATGAGTCAAGTTATGTAAGTAGACTTCTATTTATGATCTTATATGGTTTTAGAGAGGTTTTAAAAGTAAAAAGTTTCGAAGCTTCCTCTTTAGAAATCCTAGTTCTAGTTGGTAAAGGAATTCTCCAAAGTCCATATAAAGCCATGAAAATGCTTCCAATTCAAGAGATCAGTTTTAAAGAATTTTCAAAACCATTTTGAAGCTTCTTTGAGATTGTGTGATACTGTAAGATTTTTGAATAAATCTGTATACTCAATTTTGTATAATACAAATTTAAAAAAGGAAATAAGAATAAATATATATTCTTATAATCAATCTAATACATTTACAGAATTAACATAATATTCTCACACCCCTGCTCGAACTCAATGTGTTTTAGCAGAAAACACTGAGAGTTTGCCAATAAGAAACTAAAAACGAACAGTGGTGTGAGTCTTGGTAAAAAAGTCAACAAGTTGAAGTACCAAGAGATGAAAAGAAGCGATATGGAGTCAGACTGCAATTGTTGACAAACAAAATGACAATCAATCTCAATGTACTTCGTTCGCTCATGAAAAACAGTGTTATGAACAATCTGAATAGCACTGCGATCAGTGTTTTTAAAGACTCAAGGCGCACTAAGGCGCTGAAGGTCTCTCAGGGCCTAGGCGCAAGGCGAGGCACGGGCTTTATTGAAGTAAGGTGCACAGTCTTAATAAAAAAATATAAAAATTAACATAGACTAATCATTCATACTACTAAGACAATTTTTTTAAAAATAAAAAGTAATCAAGATTCAAGACACAAGACAAAATATAAAATAATTCTCAAAGTCATGAAAGTGTATATTACATAACATTCCAATTTTCAAATATAAAATAATCCACATTCAATAAAATAAAAACAAAAACAAAAACATTAACACTAAACATCCAAAGCATAAATATCCAACAAATACTAATATATATCTTAACACTTCAAAACATCAATATCAAAAGAAAAAGGTTAGAACTTAGGTCGGTCAGTCAATCATCATCCTCAACATCAATGGCAAGCAAACTATCATCTTTTTCTCCATCAGTTGATTTATATCCCTCAACATCTTCCTCCTATGTGTCATCTGAGCCCACTTTCTCTTCATCTATTAATTGAAGTGGAGTTATCTTGATGATTTAAATATCATCGGTTGTGCCTTTGAGTGTGAACTTGTTGCTCTACTTGCATGGCTACTTTCTTCTACTCCAAAAGCTCTAACAACAGTGGCCCACGTCAAGCCATCATCATCATCAAACATAGGCACATTATCTTCATCTGATTCTCCATCCATCCTCCCAAGCAACCACTAATTGCTTTCATCAATATTTTGCAAAGATATGGGATCAAGAATATTGCGCATGTCATACCTAAATCTCAATGCTCTATTACATTTGACAAACACTAAATCATTGAGACGTTGTTGTTCCAATCTATTTCTTTTCCAATCTATCTCAATGTTCTTTTCTTTTCTTTTTTAGTTAATTAATCAGAATCAGAATTTATTTTTTTCCCCTAACAGATAAAGAAAAAAAAAAAGACCAGTAACATTGTATTAATTAATTATTTGTGAATAATTAATTATTTATAAAAAAAAATTCATTGTATTTTTTACAGTTAATTAATCAGAATCAAAGACTCAAACCAGAAGCACCTTATTTTGTCCTAATTAATCAGACCAGTAGCACCTTATTTTGTATTTGTATTTTTTTTTTTTTTTCTTCCTAACAGAGACTCAAAGGCAAAATTGAAAAAAAAACAAAACAAAGTCGAAGTCGAAGTCGAAGTCAAAGCCAAAGCCATAAGAAGAAGAAGAAGGAGGAGGGGAGGGAGAGAGAGAGAGAGTGAGATCAGAAGACCAGAAGAGGTCGAAGCAAAAAAAAAAAAAAAAAAAACAGCCCAGTCGAAGAGGTCGACCAGGAGACCAGAAGAGAAGAAGAAGAAGAAAAAGAAGAAGAAGAAGAAGATGGCGAAGCATACCTGCGAAGTCGAAGTCGAAGTCGAATCGAGCAGCCTAGTCGAAGTCCAAGGCGAGGCGAGAGAGGAAAAACGACATAGATTAGGGTTCATTTCAGTCATATTTGGTCATATTGTACATGAGTTGTAATCCTTTGCGGTTAAGAGCCATTCGAACACACCCTCGTAGCCGTTAGATCAAATCTAGCTGCTAATAAATCAAGTGCGCCTAGTCGTGCGCCTTGCGCCTCTGTCGCCTGGCTCAAGTCACGGCTAAGGCGCGAGCCTACCTCAAGTCGCCTCGCCTGGGACTTGTACAGGCGCAAACAGTGCGCCTCGCCTCGCCTGGCGCCTAGGCACGCTTTTCACAACACTAACAATAATAAAAAAGGGAGAGATGGAGAGATGGAGATTCATGAGATGGAGAGATGGAGATTCATATGATGAAAGGTACCAGAGTCAAAAATCTAGATAGACGAAGAGATCCCTGAAGACCCTAGCAAACCTGAATAAATAGAGGAAACAGCGGAGGCAGACGAGGATGTTTGAGAAGTAGACAATATATGTTGAAACTGAACAATCTGAGCATTTAAGGAAGTCAAGTCTGGATCAGGAGCCGAAGCAAATGTAATAGAACCGGCAGGAGGCCGAAAAGTGCTCGGAGTAAGAGCTCGGAACTAGGTCTGAAACTGCTGAAAAGATGAGGCAGTCAGACGTCCCTTCTTTGAACAATGATACTTCCAATGACCCCTCTAATGACAAAAGGCACTCATCAAAAGCTATAGACATCGTAATAACCAGAGAGCTGAGGGGTTCAGATGTAATAAATCCAAAATAGAACAAAATAGCCAAACAAGGAGTTGAAGCATAATAACCAGAAATCTGAGGGGTCAAACTGTAATAACCCAAAGCTAACACCAGATGGGTCAAAATGTAATAAACATAAAAGTTACCAAGAGAACCACTAACGACAATGTAGATGGGTCACAACTCAGACCCAAACCCAAACCCAAACCCAAACCCAAACCCAAACCTAGAAAGGGAGAACTAGTCGCAAATCAGAACCACAACCACAGAGAGAGTTGAGTTTCAAAACAACAATAGGAATCGAATCACCAACACCAAAAATCGATCCACAAGCTAGACGAAAACCAGATAGGTCAAGTTGAACCAAATGAACAGTTGACCTAGGCAAACCAATCAAACAAGAGAGAGATAATAACCTTCGAATTGATGAAACAGAACCAAACAAGCACCAAGTCGATCGCAATCAAGAGAGAAAATCACAAACAAATGCGACGAAACAACCAAATGGTTCTTCTCAAACCAAAGAACCTAACCAGATGGGTCAAACAAACCAGATAAGTCAAGCGACTCGATGGGTCTGACGAATTGATATGACGAACAGATAGGAGGAGCAGATGGGTCGACTCTTGATGAACCAGTAACGGTTCGTGAGATGGGTTGAACAAACAAAAGTCGCTTGTTCAAACTTAGATAAGTGCTACCTGAGGAACCAACAGAGCAAACTCGAACGAACCAAAGATCAGAACCAGAGAAGCTCTGATACCATGTAAGATTTCTGAATAAATCTGTATATTCAATTTTGTACAATACAAAGTGAACAACCAAGTTATATAAACTTAATCTAAAAAATGAAACAAGAGTAAACCTATATTCTTACAATCGATCTAATATATTTACATAATTAACATAATATTCTCACAGATACAATACAACCAATCCCTAGATGTAATTCCTAAGATTTTTAAAAGTGATTCTAATAGTTTTCTTCTTCATCATAATTTTTAGGGAAAATCACAAATCAGTTGTAAGACCAAAAAAATTACAAAATTATGAAAAGTTTATAAATTTAATTATTAAAGTTGATAAGTTTTGCCACTAATTTGAAATTTGTTTTGAAAAGCTGCACTGAGTTGTAATTTCCCCTAATCTTTATGCACTTTTAACCTCTAAACCCATAAAACTAGATCTGTATTACAATTAACCCTATTCAACCCCCCAAACTTCATAGTACTTTAATCCTCACACCTTACTTGCAAAAGAGCTCAAAACCAACACAAGTATTATTCAGGCTGTTCATTACAACTAGAGGCTAAAACAGCCACTAAAACGTTGTGTTTTCATTCTCCAAGTCCTACCTTTTTGTTACTCCATTCAAGCCCTTAAAAACTTTATACTTTTACCATTAGCCACAATAATCAATCAAAATAGTCCCAGAGCCCAGGTTTTCTGCTGCAATATATTAATTTTGGGCTCACAACTAGACTATTAATTTTGAAATTCCCAAACTAATTGTATCCATTTTTGGGTGCAGTCATAGGCTAGAAAATCTCGCAAAAGTAAAACATGATTGCTGAATTCTGAGGGTTGGTAAATGTCCATATTAGTTCACTGGCCCCTTTTCTCTATTCTTTCTTTCAGTCATTGCTCAACAAGATAATCATCCCAATTTATCTAGATCCAGTTGATCTCAACTTGATCCAGCCTTCATGCAACTCAAAGGGGCATGTGTGTGATGATTGATAGGTAAATGAGGAAGAGGGGAAAATCTTATTTGAATAATACAGCTTGTTCAATGACTCAAGGGTTCAGTATGTCTCAATAAGAAGTTGCTCCTGTAACGAAGTATACAACAATTCTAAATGCTATGGAAATATTCATCCCTTGATATTATATGCTCACAAACTCAATTGCATATTTAATTGACTAACTGGAAATATAGATACTTGTAATATAGTCCAATGGGAGGAAAAAACATTGTGAAAATAGAAAATACTGCATCATCCAATTTGTAACTAAATAAATGAAGAAGAAGAAGAAGAAAAGAAACTTTTACCCCTACAGGTAATTTTGTTCCCTGAAATTTACTTCCTTGATAGCTCCAGAATGATTTATGACTTCGTCATAGTAAAGATGCATAGATACACAATTGATCTCTTTTCATAACAGTTCGTGTATTGACCATTAAAAGTAGCCCCTTCAATTCTCCAAGCAAAAAGTTTTCAACCTATAGTTAGGCCTCATTTGGCAATTGACTATTTTAGTTGGCTTTTTGGCTTGTTTTACAAAAGGACATGCAAAAAACTAAAGAAAGTGATGTGATAACTTAGTTACTTTTTGGCTATTTTACTTACAAAGAAACTTTTCAAGAAAATAGAAAAACAGAGACTAACCTTAACAGTTGTTGCAATGACATGGCAAGCTATCCTTGATGTGCATGTCCCCAACACAAGTTTGGTGTATCCATTTTGAAGAGCAATCTGCACAATAAATGCAACATGCTGCATAAATATGCTGGGCTTCCCTTGTCCTATGCTTGCAATTAAATGGCACAATAGAGAGTTGAACCTTTTGCAATGACAACATTCGCAGATGCAGCATCAGATCTTCTTTTCCAGTGAGATCACTAACAGTATTAACTAACTCTTTCAACGTATCCATTCCATCCCCGAAATCTGAAGAATAAATGCTCGCTATGGAGGCAACATGGAACTCTTTTCTTGGTGGAGCTAAATTTGAAACAATAAGTTTCATGTCTTCAATTGCTTCGTCAAGTTGATGAGAAGGGACTGGATAAATAGCACTTTCATCAACAACAGCAACCCCTACACCAAATACTGGTAATGACCTATCTCTACTTGCATCGAAATTCTTCTGTGCTTTACATTGCATCTCATGTACAAACTGTAGAGCCACCCTAAGAGATAAACATTCGCTCAGAGAAAAAAAATATTAACATTCACACAGTGCAAATGTAACACAACTAACAGCCATATGACGTGTACCTACCGGACTTCAAAGACAAAGCAAGCTCAAGATTGTTTCATGATTGGAGTTAGAGGCTTGCTAGAGATTAGATAGATAAACAAGTCAAGCTCAACCAATCTTTGAAGCAAATTTACTTTTACAGCTAAATTCAAACTTCGGACAAGCTCATCTGCAATCTAGGACCATGTAAAGAACCAGGCTCACAAAACATATTGAATTGAAACGCCAAGACCAATCTTTGTTTTGAACCCTGCTAATTTTTTGAGTGCAGCTTGAGAAACTCAAAAAAATTAGGTCAGTTTATCTCATTACAAACACAAATTTAACTTGGGTAAATTACACTGACACCCCCTAAGATTTGTTACCATTACATTAGTCCCCCTAAGGTTCTGGAAATTACACTCTCCTCAAGGTTGGTTTTAAGTTGCAACCTACGTTACACAGACGAGTGTCAGGTGCGGGTATATATCTAGGGGTCGGACTCCTCAAACCTCTAAATGAGGGATACACGGGTACATCTAAAAGTATCCAAAAATTAGATACAGGTATGTGAATACGGCTAAACAAAGATATGTTAGAATATTGAAAGTTTTACATGGTACAAAGTCATAAAAATAGAATTTTTGTGACAAAAGCGTAAAACTATAAAATTAAAAATTTAGTAAGCATTACAGTATAGAAGGCATACCTACGGCTGCAAATGAATCAAGTTGCTCACGAGCTAACTCCGCTCGGCTCGACTCATTTAGTAAACGAGTCAAACTCAAGCTTGAATATTAGACTCGTTTAGTAAATGAGCTGAGCTCAAGCTTGAATAAGCTTGGCTTGTCAAGTTCAACTCGTTTATCTTTATTTAAATTATATAATAAAGGGGGATTTAGTGATAGACCCTTTAGTGTCTAACTTGTCCTTTGAGGACAAGAATTATATAGATTCTTTCAAAACCCCCTAGTATTTTAAAACTTATTTCTTTTACTATAATACCCTCACATATATATATATGTGTGTGTGTGTATGTGTGTATCAGATCTACAATCACTCTCTCATCTCAATCACTCCTCTCTGTCTCACTCTCTTACCATTGTTGCTCTCCACGGGCGCTTACCATGGAACTCTTTCTCTACCGTCTTCATCACCACCATTGCTCATCGCATCCACGACCTCAAATCTAAGATCATTCACAGTCGTCGTCGCCGGAAAATGATAGTTCGCCACGATTCATAAACCTCAAACCTGAGATCCTTCACTCTCTCTCTCTCTCTCTCTCTGGTTCTGACGGTTCGTGCTCTCTTTATTTGTGTGTCACTCTCCATTTATGCTCTCTCTCTCTCTCTCTCCTTCTCTCTTCTTCTCATGATGCTCTGTCTTCAAACTCTATCTCCTTATCTCTATCTCTTCTTCTCGTGATGCTCTATTCTACGAACAATAAAACTTTACTCTGGTTCATAACACATCCATCAGCTGTAAAGTCATTCTCGCAACGTGTTTCAGAGTAAAATTTACTATAATTCAAAATAAAATTTTACTTTCGTTAAGCAAATCAACATATTATTAATCAGAGTAAAATTTTACTATTACAAAAAACATAGTACATTCTAAATGAACAAATCAGAGTCGAATTTTATTTTTATATCTATGAACAAACAAACAAATAAAGCTCTGGATTTTTCATTGCAATCTGTCAATTGCTCCCTTTTCTGTCAAATCTAAGTTCATTTATCTAAGGTCTGAGGTTATTGATCTCAAATATAAGTTCTTATGTATCAAATCTGAGATGGTGCTGGTTCAATGGCAAAAATGGTGGTCGTCGGCCGATGGTGAGGATGAGTGACACCAGCAAACAATGAAGATGGTGAAAGCGATGAACAACCATCTAGTTGGTGAAGAGAAGGAGAGTGCTGTAATAGAAAGAGAGAGTATAATGGTCAAATAAAATATTCAAATAACAAATTTTGTCATTTATATAAGACTTTATAATTATGAGAGGGTTTTGAAAGTACTAAACTTTTTTTTGTCCTTTTAACAAGAAAAGGAAGTTAGGAAGCATTTATGGCCAAATTTCCCTATAATAAATAAATTATTTATATATTAAATAATATATAAATATATATATATATATTGTTAAAATCCACCTACTCTCCACCTACTTCACCCACTTAAACCTACTCCACTAAACCTAACCCACTACACCACTACCACCTCACCTACTCCACTAAACCTAACCCACTACACCACTACCACCTCCACTTCACCTACTCCTTACCTACTACACACCCATCCTCTTCTATATATAGGAATCATGAATCATTGTAATACAACAAATCAACAAATCAATCAATACATAATTTATTCTCTCTATTTCTCTATACATTTATTTTTACACTTTCAATAAACAGATCAAACTGCATAGAGGATCTAAGGCCACAGTGGAAGGTGATATGCGAAAGTCCTTGTTTGCTTCCAATCCCAAGTCACCAACCCAAAATGGCAGACCAAGCAGCATGGTTTTCAAGGAAGCACATACAGTGATTCCTGCCCACATGATAGCAGAAGCCATATCGACACTCCATGGTCTTGACCTAAGATGGTCAGGCCCAATCACACCAACTGAAATGCAATATGTTGAACAATATGTCCTAGCCAAGTACCCGGAGTACTCCAATGCTCTAGTTGAAGGAGGAGAGAAGACTGACCTCTACAATCTCTGTATCAAAGAAGAGCCATCCAATCTTCTAATCGATGACAAACGAAAGATCAACCCTGAACTAAGGTTCTATCCTTACCATTACGCCCCATTTGCTTCAGATTTTTATGGTCTTGATCAGTTGGAAATTTACTTCACCCTTGGGAAGCCCTTTAAGCCATTTGATCAGTTAATGGGTGTATTGCCTGCTGCGAGTGCACATGCACTTCCTTTCTTTTACAGGAAATTGATGACAGATTCATCATCACCTATTTTGGACTTCTATCCTGATGATTTTGAGTTGGACATGGATGGAAAACGTTTTGCTTGACAGGCTATTTGCAAATTACCATTTCTTAAGGAGTCCCACAACATACCCATCATTCTTTTCCCCACTCAAATATATTATACTAGCCTTCATTGATTCCACTGGCTTCCAACACTTCATTTTATTTTTATTTTTTTCTTATTATTATTTTTCAAAAAAAAAAAAAAAAAAAAAAAAAAAAAAAAAAACAAACAAACAAACAAACAAACAAAACCACAACAAAACAACCACATCCACAGGCGGGATTTTTTCTTATCTACTCTGCCGCTGGTCTCTTCTTCTTGCCTCCGTCCTGCGCGGCCCTTGACGGTGTTGCCTCCGTGCTTCCTAAACCACCAAGCAAGTTGCCTCCTCCCTGCTCCTCCACTACAGCATATGGTGGCCCTCCAAATCGGAACATCACGGTGGCCTTCCGCTTCAGCTCCTTGTTTTCTGACTTTAGCACACTTATCTCTACTCGCGCATCCTTATACATGCGTTGGAGCAGAGCCAGCTGGGAGTTTAAATGCTGCACCTCATTTGTCCTACTCTGCAGCCGGTTCGACAAATTTGTGACCGCCGTCATGCTTTCCACACATGCCTTCAAAGCGTAAAAATATAAAATTAAAAATTTAGTAAGCATTACAGTATGGAAGGCATACCTACTGCTGCAAATGAATCAAGTTGCTCGCGAGCTAACTCCGCTCGGCTCGACTCATTTAGTAAACGAGTCAAACTCAAGCTTGAATATTAGGCCCGTTTAGTAAATGAGCTGAGCTCAAGCTCGAATAAGCTTGGCTTGTCAAGTTCAACTCGTTTATCTTTATTTAAATTATATAATAAAGGGGGATTTAGTGATAGACCCTTTAGTGTCTAACTTGTCCTTTGAGGACAAGAATTATATAGATTCTTTCAAAACCCCCTAGTATTTTAAAACTTATTTCTTTTACTATAATACCCTCACATATATATATATGTGTGTGTGTGTATGTGTGTATCAGATCTACAATCACTCTCTCATCTCAATCACTCCTCTCTGTCTCGCTCTCTTACCATTGTTGCTCTCCACGGGCGCTTACCATGGAACTCTTTCTCTACCGTCTTCATCACCACCATTGCTCATCGCATCCACGACCTCAAATCTAAGATCATTCACAATCGTCGTCGCCGGAAAATGATAGTTCGCCACGATTCATAAACCTCAAACCTGAGATCCTTCACTCTCTCTCTCTCTCTCTCTCTCTCTCTGGTTCTGACGGTTCGTGCTCTCTTTATTTGTGTGTCACTCTCCATTTATGCTCTCTCTCTCTCTCTCTCTCTCCTTCTCTCTTCTTCTCATGATGCTCTGTCTTCAAACTCTATCTCCCTATCTCTATCTCTTCTTCTCGTGATGCTCTATTCTATGAACAATAAAACTTTACTCTGGTTCATAACACATCCATTAGTTGTAAAGTCATTCTCGCAACGTGTTTCAGTGTAAAATTTACTATGATTCAAAATAAAATTTTACTTTCGTTAAGCAAATCAACATACTATTAACCAGAGTAAAATTTTACTATTACAGAAAAACATAGTACATTCTAAATGAACAAATCAGAGTCAAATTTTATTTTTATATCTATGAACAAACAAACAAACAAATAAAGCTCTTGATTTTTCATTGCAATCTGTCAATTTCTCCTTTATCTGTCAAATCTAAGTTCATTTATCTAAGGTCTGAAGTTATTGATCTCAAATATAAGTTCTTATGTATCAAATCTGAGATGGTGCTGGTTCAATGGCAAAAATGGTGGTCGTTGGCCGACGGTGAGGATGAGTGACACCAGCAAACAATGAAGATGGTGAAAGCGATGAACAACCATCGAGTTGGTGAAGAGAAGGAGAGTGCTGTAATAGAAAGAGAGAGTATAATGGTCAAATAAAATATTCAAATAACAAATTTTGTCATTTATACAAGACTTTATAATTATGAGAGGGTTTTGAAAGTACTAAACTTTTTTTTGTCCTTTTAACAAGAAAAGGAAGTTAGGAAGCGTTTATAGCCAAATTTTCCTATAATAAATAAATTATTTATATATTAAATAATATATAAATATATATATAATAGCATAAATACATTATTTATGTATTATATAATATAAATAATATTTTTATTTAAATAATATAAATAATAATAATAACAATAAAAACTTATCGAGCCGAGTTGAGCTGAGTCAAACTCAAGTTTCATTAATATTAACAAGCCAAGGTGAGCTCAAGCCCACTTAGTTATCGAGCCGAGCTTGAACTCAATAAATGAGCTTGAGAAAAAAGACTTGCATCATAGTTAGAGGAGGGTGAAGAAGGATGAAGACTTGGATGGAGGCTCCTTTCGATCATTCCTTTTGAGAATGTGGAACCCCTAGTTTATCAAAACAAGAAGGAAACAGTTCAAAGTATGGGTCCAACTATGGCCTAATTCTCGCATTCATTGTCCACAGTTAGCCACATCCTCTTCTAGATGATATACCAGTAAATCCCTTTATTTGTGTGTCCTCATATTTATGATACACAAAGTCTCCTAATATATTCAATCTTGAAGTTCTAGTTTCCACACTAATCTACATCCAATTCTTCCCATATGATAAAATACCCAAAGCTTTTAGGTAAAGACATATAATAACCAAGCTCGTTATCGTAAATTATTGCTAAAAAAGACAGCCCTTTTCAATGTTACCAAAAGGTTCAACACAAATCAATTGAAATTTAGACAGAAACCAAGCACATAAAATGCAATTCTTGCAAATTCACAGTGATGATCATTCTAGAAAGAGAAAATGAGAATTGTAGAGAGAGAGAGAGAGAGAGAGAGACCTGGAAGAAGTGTCACCGGAGAAAGCGACGAGGACGTTGTCCTCCGGAGAAATCATGGCGTTGGAGGTGACAGCGAACCGGAACTTCCCGAAGAGATTGGTGCGGAAGCAGTCGGAGCAAAAGCGGGAAGCGTCGCCGGCCGTCGTGGGGATGGTGGTAGCGATGGTTTGATTGGATTTGCACTTTATGCAAAGATTGGTGCGGTTAAGATCGTTGCCAATTTTCACAACACCATTGACTGCTTTTTTCTTCTCCAACTGTTGGTCTTCTTCGCTATTCTTGTCTTTGTAGCAACCAGACTCACAACTTCCTGAACTACACGCCATCGTCTCTCTCTCTCTCTCTCTCTAAACTATTGCACTTGGCTTCCTACTTTTCCAGTTCTATATGTCACTAGGGCTTTTAGCCATTTTTGACTCTCCGATGGCCTGGCCTTTTGAGTTTTTCCGCACCCGTAGCTTTAACTCGACGGCGTTCAAAAAAGGAAAGGTAAATTACACTTCCACCCCCACATCAATCATTTTTCAATTTTATTTTGATCCCTACAAAATAAATAATGACAGCCAATTTCTTACATTTCTGGTTAAATTTCACCTTGTTATATACCCAAGTGTTAATATTGCTCGTCTGTCACTTCATTATTTAAATCTTTAACAAAATTCAATTATGTGATAAAAATGTGACTATAAAATAAGAAGAAATAGGAAAAATCATTTAGGTTCTGTTTGGTTGTGATTTCAAATCATAATTCCACACCTTAATTCAAGTATGGTGTTTGGTTAGAGTTCTCAAATGATGTTTCCAAAATTCTACAGAAAACACCCTGTCTGAGGCGCGGTTTTCTGTTTTGACAGACGCGTTCTTCAATTTTTTTTTTCAAAATTTGGCCTAACGGGACGTCCGGCTAGTTGACCGGAATAGTGATTTTTTTTTTTAATTGATATGTTAATTTTTATATAATCGAAAAAAATATTTTCTGAAATTTTTAAATTTTTAAATTTTTTTATGTGCTTTAAAATAATTTTGAGTTGTATATTTAGTTATGAGTTGTAAATTTTTGTATCAAATATCAAATGTCACATCAACAATTCCCCACTCAAATCAAAACTCTTTTCAAAACTATTTTCAAAACTCTTTACCAAACAAATTTTCTATACTCAAATCATAATTCCAAACCCCACAAACTCAAAATACAACTCATACTCTCAAATCATAATTACAAAACACAACCAAACGCAACCTTATATTTCCCAAGAATTATATAACACAATATAAATAAATAAATAAATAAATATATATATATATATATTGTATATTGAAAATTGAGAGAAAGTGGCGAACTCCCTTGAGAAGTAGGTTAAAAATCACTTCTTAACTTTTAACTCATTTTGAGTCACATCATCTCTCACATATTTTACAAATTTTTTAAAAAAAAGTCAAAAAACAACTTTTAACCATCTTCCCGAAACACCCCAAAATAAAACTTTCGAAATAAAAAACGCAGTAGAAATGTAGATCAATAGACAGAAGACTATGCTATTGGGAAAAACAGAGTTTTGTTATTCCAATTTCTATAAAACCCTAGTTCATCTTCTTCATTGTTCACAATATACATTTTGTTTTAGCCTAATATCTATATAATAAAGGAAGAGGGTTTTTAAATTTATCCTATAAACAATTGTCCTACTAGGACATTTTAATGGTCATGATTCATTTCTATATTTAGATAGACAGCTGAGATAAGCCTGTTAACTTTCTCCTGCGTCTCACCCACCTCTCTTTTCCTATTTTATTGTCACCCCATGTTCTCTCTTTTGCCAACCCAAGACAAAGGCTTACAAACCTAAGAGGCGCATTTTCCTTTTCAAATTTGCACTTCTTCTCTCTCTCTTCAAACTTCTCAGGTCTCAAACTCTCTCTCCTCAGAGATCTCTCTCTCTCTCTTCCTCTCTCTTCCCCTCTCCATCGGCTACCACAGAAGCCCACTTCTCTCTCTACATATCTCATTATCTTTACATGTGAGAACCAATTATCATCACCACGTGTACGATCAGGATTGGAGACTTAAATTATTTTCCAATAATACCCTTATTCTGCCACGTGTCGGATTGTAACTGGCTTTTACAAAATATATAGCTAACAATATTGCTCGTATGTCACTTCATTATTTAAATCTTTAACAAAATTCAATTATGTGATAAAAATGTGACTATGAAATGAGAAGAAATAAGAAAAATCATTTAGGCTCTGTTTGGTTGTGATTTCAAATCACGATTCCACACATTAATTCAAGTATGGTGTTTGGTTAGAGTTCTCAAATGATGTTTCCAAAACTCTGTAGAAAACACCCTATCTAAGGCGCAGTTTTCTGTTTTGACAGACGCGTTTTTCATTTTTTTTTTTCAAAATTTGGCCTAACGGGACGTCCGGCCAATTGACTGGAATAGTGATTTTTTTTTTTAATTGATATGTTAATTTTTATATAATCAAAAAAAAAATTTATGTACTTTAAAATAATTTTGAGTTATATGTTTAGTTATGAGTTGTAAATTTTTGTATCAAATATCAAATGTCACATCAACAATTCCACACTCAAATCAAAACTCTTTTCAAAACTATTTTCAAAACTCTTTACCAAACAAATTTTCTACACTCAAATCATAATTCCAAACCCTATAAACTCAAAATACAACTCATACTCTCAAATCATAATTACAAAACACAACCAAACGCAACCTTATATTTCCCAAGAATTATATAATACAATATAAATATATATATATATATATATATATAAATAAATAAATATATATATATATATATTGTATATTGAAAATTGAGAGAAAGTGGCGAACTCCCTTGAGAAGTAGGTTAAAAATCACTTCTTAACTTTTAACTCATTTTGAGTCACATCATCTCTCACATTTTTTACAAAATTTTTCAAAAAAAGTCAAAAAACAGCTTTTAACCATCTTCCCGAAACAACCCAAAATAAAACTTTCGAAATAAAAAATGCAGTAGAAATGTAGATCAATAGACAGAAGACTGTGCTATTGTGAAAAGCAGAGTTTTGTTATTCCAATTTCTATAAAACCCTAGTTCATCTTCTTCACTGTTCACAATATACATTTTGTTTTAGCATAATATCTATATAATAAAGGAATAGGGTTTTTAAATTTATCCTATAAACAATTGTCCTACTAGGACATTTTAATGGTCATGATTCATTTCTATATTTAGATAGACAGCTGAGATAAGCCTGTTAACTTTCTCCTGCATCTCACCCACCTCTCTTTTCCTATTTTTTTGTCACCCCATGTTCTCTCTTTTGCCAACCCAAGACAAAGGCTTACAAACCTAAGAGATGCATTTTCCTTTTCAAATTTGCACTTCTTCTCTCTCTCTTCAAACTTCTCAGGTCTCAAACTCTCTCTCCTCAGAGATCTCTCTCTCTCTTCCTCTCTCTTCCCCTCTCCCTCGCCTACCACAGAAGCCCACTTCTCTCCCTACACATCTCATTATCTCTACACAGAAGCCCAACAAATGCAGCCCCCTCTCTTTCTCTACACATCTTATTCTCAGTCTCGCCCCCGCCTCCGTCCCCGCCAGGTTCAATAGATTCGAAGCCCCAAGAATAGAGGTAAATAGCTGTAGCAAAGAAGCAATTCATCAGATGAACAATTCGTCATCGTCCGTATGTTCCTCTCTCTCTCTCTTTCTATCTGAAATGGGTCTCTGCTATTATTGCAGGAGAGTTGTGAATATAAACTTCTTCTTTCCACGTTGAGATCCTCTCTCTCTCTCTCTCTCTCTCTCTCTCTCTCACACACACATCTGCTCCGTTCCTTTTGTTTTACGTTCACTCTTTTGCCATCGATCTTATCTTCTAATTTTTGAACACAAATCAACCACAAAAAAATCATAAAACTAGATGGAGACCCAATCTTCCAACTAAGACATGGCTCAACCTCATGTAGATTCAGGAGGAAAAAAAATTAAAAATGAAAACACTCGAGCCAAATTCAGAAAAGACCCAGATTAAATCATATTTTTCTGTTGAATTTGGTTATACAATTCATATTCTATCATTATTTTTCTGTTTATTTTGTTTGTTTATCTCGATCAAAAAAACAAATATCTGTTTGTTTATTAATGGTTTTGATCTGTGCAACTAATTAACTGAGAGAATAAAGGAAGCGAATGAATAATGGGAGGCAGAAGAGATTTTGTTAGCGTGTTGTGTTCATCGGAAAGTGGAGAAAATAAAGAATTAAGAAGCAAAAAACTAAGAGGGCTATAGAGATTATTATAACAGGGAATGGGGATAGGTAAATGGGAAAAATGATCTCAAGCCCTTCTTTCCTTAACTTTCTTGCAAAAATGGAGGAAAATAATGATTGGTTCGGGTAATTGTTTTGTTTTACTATTTTTTATGTTGTTATGAGGGTAAGTACTGTTTGGATGAGCAAGTAATTGAAGTGGGTTATGGGTTAATTGGAAGCAAGTAATTGAAGTGGGCTATGGGTTGCAGATTGTTTGGGGAGTAAAATTGATTATACAAATAGAAAAATTGGCTAAATCTTTAGAGCTCCTCTCTCTATTTGATTTGATTTGATTTATTTATTCTTTTAAAAAAAGTCAATTATTGTTCATAGCATTTCAATGTATCATGTTGTAGACGTGCCCCGAGAACTCCGCAGAAACTGTAGACGTGCCCCGAGAACTCCGTTTTTCGCACCGCAAGGGTGCGAATTCGTTAAGTTCTGAGCTACTACAGTTCGGACTCAATGTCACGGTTCTGAATCTAATCTTGCAAAGTACAATGTAAGACCGATAAATCACCAAAGAGTCCAAATCCGGCAAATTATTTTGGAAAACTGATTTTTATAAAGAAGTATCAAACATGAACTGCTTTGCCAGATACAGAGTCGCCACTTAAATATTTTGTTTTGGGAAATTTAGGAAACTCTAACTCATGCCTAAGGCCATGTATCCATCATCACCAAAGTTGCCTCGGCTCGAGAACTTGGGTACGAGAGGGGAAGGTCATGCAATGAGCACCCCCGCTCGCCCGATCAAAAGATCGGCCTTTACTAACATGATATGTTTATCCACCCAAAAATACATGATATGTTGTTTTTTAAAACACATGTGTTCTTATTCCGTTTATTAACCTAGAATTACTATGTTATGCGCACAGCATACAAGTATAGACTAGATCGCCTAAGTTGGAACAAAACATTGCATATTCGTTTGTGAAAATGATTTGAAGTTTGCTACTCGCAAGTAGGCTAAGACGAGGATTTTGATGAATTGTTCAAATTCAAGCAATCCAACCTTCACCTACAGGCGTTCAGGCAGTTATATCAAATAAGCAGTTAGCCTCATGGCAAGCATGCTTTCATGGCAATCAATAACACACATACAGTATGCTAAAGCATCAACA